GCGCTGTCGGAACGTACTGGTGGTAGCAGGAGCAGGAATCAGCACGCCCAGTGGCATCCCAGACTTCAGGTCCGAATCTATCATTTCTAAACTATTTCAGCCTTAAACCCTGTCAGTGTTGTCGGTCTTAGGCTGATCTTCCAGAGAAAACAAAATGTGTTGTTTTCAGGACTCCAGGAACGGGTCTCTATGCCAACTTGGAGAAGTATAACATCCCATATCCTGAGGCCATTTTCAACATTGACTACTTCTCCAACGACCCCCAACCTTTCTTCTCCTTGGCTAAGGCTCTGTATCCCGGCTGCCATCGTCCAAACTACATACACTACTTCATCCGCATGCTCCACCTCAAAGGTCTGCTGCTCCGACTATACACCCAGAACATCGATGGGCTGGAGAAATGTGAGTTATAACTTACAGACCGTTAAAACAAAAGAACATCTAAATGGTTACTACAGGGATCCTACACTGTCTCAGTCCACATTTGTGGTCCTGTTGTCTTAAACGTCTAGAATCCTCCAATATATGCAGATATCCTGGTATGAAGCTTCAAGTACAAGTAAAGTAAGACAGGTTCCCAAACTGATCGGCCATTAGATCGATCGCTTTGGTCAGACTTAGGACTGGCAGGTCCGGCTTTTTAAAGGTCTTTAATTGGTGATTGGCCAGAAAACTGTACCTGATGCACCCCTATAAATAAGACATGTATTTAATGAATAAATGTACAATATTTATATGCATGCATTTATTAAAGCCGTTATTAAGTAAACCGTTTTAAAGCCAAAATATATGCAGCTATACAAATACAATCTTACTCATTTTTTATTAATTTAAGCATAAAAACATTCTGCAGGATTAAAAAAAATGTTTCACTTTGCTGTCAATCAATATGCTTTGTATATTATTTTGACTGCGTTTTATAACTAAACACTTATAGTTTCAGTGCAGGATTTTAATTAGACTTTCAGAACCTTTTGCTGCCATTTTCCTTGATTTTCTGCGTATTTCTCAGGATGGGTTAATTTATTTAAATCCCCTCCACAGTGTGTGGTATCCCTGATGACAAGCTCGTGGAGGCCCACGGTTCTTTTGCCACAGCTTCCTGCCACCTGTGCTATACTCCATATCCTGCTGAGGAGGCTAAAGTACGTAGAGTCTACATCACCCCAACACTTAGTCGATTATTTGCATCCTATAAATCATGTTTTGGTTTTACAGGTTGCTATAATGAATGACAACATTCCCACCTGCTCATTCTGCGCTGCTACTGTCAAACCGGATGTTGTTTTCTTTGGAGAAAACCTCCCGCAGAAATATTTCCTCCACACTAAAGACTTTCCAAAAGCAGACCTCCTGATCATTATGGGGACCTCTTTAAAGGTTGAGCTACAATGCTTTTGTTTATTAAACCAGAATAAGGCATCTAGTGTTTTATCTAAAACAAAAATGTCTATTTTTCCAGATTGAACCTTTTGCCAGTCTTGTGAATACAGTGCGTTCTAAAGTGCCCCGTCTGCTCCTGAACCGGCATGCTGTGGGCCCCTTTGAGAGGGTCCCACTGGGAAGAGGAGACCACATGGAGCTGGGTGATCTGGCAGACTCTGTCAGAAGGTTTGCAGAGGTTCTCGGCTGGAACAGTGAAATCGAAGAGCTGATGAGGACGCAGGAAATAATGGTAAGTTTTACAATGAGTTCCCCCTGTTCAGGTGCATCATGGACAGATTTTTATTAAGACCAGCTGAAGGCTGCTACTAAAGCCACCTTTCACGAAGCAGGTTTACTGAAAATTCTTTCTTATTTTTTTTTTCTGAAATTCAGTTACTGCAGCCAAAATGTAATTTAGAAAAAATATTCTAGTTCAGTCTAGGAGTGATTTTGATCAAGAGGAATCTTATTTTAGTGATCTACAAATGGAACAACAGAGAGGAGAGTGCTTTTAATAAATCCAAAAATGGCCTTCATATAACCTACGCATTAACTTGCGTGATAATCTTTTCCTTCGCCATCTTCCTCTCCTTTGTAGCACTGTTTCTTTTAAACACATAAAAAAATTTTCCATCATTAAAATCTCTAGTTCCAGTGTGGTGAAATGGGCACTTCCTGTTGCCAGTTATGGTGATTTGTCGAATCGGGGCTCCACTTATAATGGCTTTTCATACTTGTTACAAACGTGTTAAACTTCTGTGTGGACCTACTTAGAGTTGAAGTAATTCATAGCAGCCGTTGTAAAACCGAAAACTCAGTTCCCAACTTTAGGCTTGATCAATTTAGAGTTTCTACATTTAAAACCTTTCTAGTACCTGGGGCTTTCCCTAGAGAAGTTAGTGGAAGTCCTGTGTGTCTCATTTTAAGGTCTCCATTTTTTTTCAATTAAGTTCTTTCCTCAGACTTTTCCTTCAGTGGTAACCAGCACTGCAACCCAGAACCGTCCATCAGAGATTGAAGGAATGTCAGGAAAATCCAGGCCAAGACCAGGAGCTCGAGGAAGCTGCAGTGAGGATGATGACTCTGAGACAGACAGCAGAAGCTCTGCTTCATCCAGAGATGGCAAATAACGCTGGAGTTCCTAAGACTTTAAAGGAATTTATTTCAGCTTAGCCCAACATCTGTTTCTAAGCAGGTTTTTGCGCTTTAAAATCAATGTGAAGTACTGGTTTTGTTAATATGTTGATATAAAAGGTTGGATCTAGTCTCTTTCTAGAACACTAGTTAATATTTTTCTAAAAATGTTTTTATCTTTTAAGCCAATAAAATTATCTCTAATGCTTTGTTTAATATTTAATAAAGATTCTCTTTGGAAAAACAGAGTCTTGGGTGTAATGAAAACAGTCAGTCTTGGTCTTCACTTTATTAACTTTTCAGTGGAAAAGCTTCACAGAATGAAGTAGTGCTGCCTATCGTACACAAAGTGCAAAAAGAACAAACTATTCCTGTTCATGCAAATTCTGGAGGCATGCCAGGATAAATGCGCTGGAAAATAAAAGCATAACTTAAAGCAGAGCATAAAGGTCTAAACAGTTGCAATACAAAACTTACAAAAAACATAAGAAAATATAACAGTCTGAAAGCATTTCTGTTGTGGTAAAACTTACTGTACCAACAACTTTTACTATAAATTTCTAAGCATATTTGGGCTTACAGATGCACAAAATGTTTAAAATTGTGCATTTGAAGGGGCAAAAATAAAATCTGGTTTATAATTTGCAATAGTTAATAGATTACAATTGTTTTTTTTGTTATAAGTCCACAAAAGTTGTGATTTCCTAAATTTAGCAACTGTATATTAGCTTTTCTTCTATAAACACCTTACAAAGTGAATGTCTTGGCTAGCGAATCCTGAATTCAGGAAGATTTACTCTGTGTGCAACATTCATTAAGTTTTATCTGAGCTGCCTGATTTTAGAACCCTTCAGTTCTGGACGGGCAGCGAGACTTCAGCCTAAAGCAGGCGGTTAGCTGTCCAGTGTTAAACTATGGTTCAACTGAATTGAACAAGAACTTAGTAAAGCAAAAAATACAAAGGAACCAAACTGACAAAGGAATGATTTTTAAGACCTGAAACCTTGGCATATGTGTTCACAAAAAGTAAAAGGTACTCTATGTTCCTAAAGAAGCAACAATTAACCAAAAAGGCCACAGATGATTTAGGTAACCAGCAATCTGAGTCCAAGAACGGGAAGAACCTTCCAGTTCCAGATCAATTCACCGCTTCCATTTTTCACACATGCGCTGCATTTCCTCCATTGTGTGTATGCAGACAATGCCAACAACTCCCCCACATTACAGCAACAGTTCATTTCACTTTGTTAATTTTCACTAGTTCTGTAGATAAATCCTAAATTTGACTTTAACTCTCACTTTGCATCTTTTTTAGACCAGGTGACCTGAGAGATTATGACCCTTGATAAAGTTAAAATCAAAATCCCAATTTATGTACATAAAACAGTTGAATGTAGGAAATGAGTTGAAATTTTCCATGATGCGTACATATTGATACCTGACTGACCCAAACTATAAAATGCCTTCAGAGGCTTGAATGTTCGGCCGTTTCCCAGTACAGATGAAGAACCATCTGAGGTCCCCAACAGAACTTCAGGAAATTCTAAATGAGGCCTAAAAAAAAAAACCCCAATATATTCTTTATTCATATCATCTCTGCTAATGTTTAGGCATTAAGTCATTCACTGAACAAAAATTACCAATTTAAACATATTTCACTGATTTTTGTATATGCATGAAACTAGGCATCTGTACAACACCGGATACAGTATCTTACAAAAGTATTCACACCCCTTGAAAGTCTCCATGTTATGAACACAAACTTCTAAGTACCTAATGATAGATCATTGCTAATTATTGAAAATAGACAAGCTACAGGAAAAATACCCTTAAACTGCCTGCGGAAGTCAATTTATTAAAAATAGTTTTAGTCTAACTAAGCTTGAGCTATTTTATAAAGACATTTAGTATCTAGATTAGCAAAGCTGCTAAATCCCCAGAAGATTTGCATGTGCAGCAAAGGGGGAATGTATTGATAACAGAAATGTCCAACACACTTTTTAGTTTCTAGATTGTAAAAACATTTAAAAATTCAATGTATTCCTATGCCCCAACTTTACAATAATGCACTAGTTTGTGATGGATTTCAAATAAGCCAAGTTTGAGGTAAACTGGCATAAAAATGTACGGTTAGAGTTTAAAGAAGTATGAATACTTTTACAAGGCAACGTATAAACCAACAACCCTGCAAGAAGCAGGAAAAAAAAAACAATAGCTGACAGACTTCAAGATAAAGTTCTATTCCATGTTTTCCATCATTAACATGCCTAGTAATTTTCCAATAATTTTGTACAGTTATAGTTAAGCTCATCATAGTAATCTGGGTGTCCCAGTTTATTCTACAATAAAGTACTTCTCTCGTCACGCTATGTGAAACCCCACTTGTCAGAAACAGGACTTTACAGGTTAAAAAGTACCACTGGAAGGCCAGGGTCTTTTTATAGGATTGACAGTCGGGTAGATGTAAAGAAAATGTTTAAGTGCAGCGTGTCACAGTTACAGTTCCACTGAAGATCTAACAGAGGACCCAGCTCTTGAATTGGGAAGAAGATCTGAAAACTCTGGCCTAATCAGAGTCTGTATCGGAGTTTTCTTCAGGTGGACAAACGAGCGTTTCTTCAAGAGGTGCCAAAGTCCCGTCTGGCCTGACGCCCATGGGCCGGATCACGTTCTGCCTGTGGAGAGGAAGAAACGGGCAGAGGAGTCAGACAAAGAGGGCCAACGAAGAACTAAAAGAAACCAAAACACTCCGGCTTCCTTCCATCTCTGGAAAGACTAGGGCCTTGCATTTGTTCTTATTCATACGCAAACTGGAGGGCCCTCATACCGCCTCCCCCCTCCCCTCACCCGTTCATAGACAATCAGGCATGTCTGGCCATCCTCTCTCCCTTCCTGCAGCAGTTTAATTACAGGATCAGTGCTCAAGCTAATCTCCTCAAAGCCTACACTGGCCCTTTATCCTAATCCAATTATACCTGCACTGTGTGTGTCACTGCTCCCTCCAAGATGATCCATCTGAGAATTATCCATCATCAGTTAAAAAAAAGCGATCTTGAGCATTAATTCGATAGATTCAAACACAAAAGAAAGATTCCTGGAAGTAAAAGTGATTTACTGATGAAAATAAATGAAAAATGGGTCCGTAAATAAAAAAAGAAAATCCCCTTTGTCTTTATCTATTGAATTCAAAAACAAACATTTGACATCATTGTTCCTAATTAGACTGAAATAACCTCTCATCTCCCCTCAGAAGTGATAGAGGAGTGAGGGTCTGGCAGGTGTAAAGGGGTGTGAGTGTATGTCCTAATTAGAGGACCACTTGTGCAGCCAGAGGAGCACATTCTTGGAGGCTGCTGACTGATCTCCTTAGCCACCTGCACTGGTGGAGGCAGCTCTCTACCTGGGAAGAGAAGAAAGACGGCGCAGCCTTAAAGGAGGAATCTTCTCTTTCTGGGCGAGCGTGTCTCATTATGGCTCAACGGCCAACAATGACGAGGTCGGCTCTCTTATGTTGCCGTTTTTATTCAGCCGTGTCTCTTCTTTATCTGCGTTCCACTCAAATTGGTTTGACTAGTTTGCTCCCATGTCAGTTTTCTCGCCTGGCCATCGACTGGCTCCTCAAGGGCGAGTCAAGACGTGAGGAATTATTAAAAAAAGCCTCAATGAGAAACATAAAGGAGGCCAAGCCAACAAGCCGACAACGTTTACCAATTAGGTGATAATTAATATGGAGGTAATGATGCTGCAGCGACACGCAGGCCAGCTCCCATTTAATCCCCCTGAATGTGACGGCTGCCTGTCAGCGGCTAATTGAAGACTCGTGTGGCGGAGGGAGATTCTTGTCGTGATGAACTGGTTGGCATGGAGAAAGCTCCCAGTCACCTTTTAGCAGGTAACGTTAGCCTCTGCTCGCTAATGAAAAGGTCAACACAGCAGAACCCTGCAGCTTTTCATACAGTCGTTCTAAACAGAATCAGTCGATCAGCCGAGAGGAGAAACGTCATTTATTCTTTCTGGGTTGTTCCTCTTTTGTGCCAAAATGTTCCAGGCAATTTTCCCTTATTCCAGATTTTACCTTTAAGGACTTATTTTCCAAACTTACTGGTGAGCTATAAAAATAAACCAAATAATGGCCAAACATAAATCCATTTCTAACTTATTTGGGGATAACATTTTGACAACCACCATCGATAATTAATACAGATGCAGAGTAAACTGCATTGGTTGCTTTTCAGCTTGATTATCTGTCAAATCCTCAATTTGTCCAATCAGAAAACAAGTCCAACTGATCACAATAACCTGGAGGGACGGTTTGAATTAGCAATTATTAGCATTAGTGGTTTCAGTCAGGAAGGTATTCTTATTAAAATACATTGTAAAGTGTTTCAGGTCCATTCAGCTTGAAGATAAGAGGAAGGCTGAGCTTTCCAATCGTTCACACTGTTTCTCTGTCATGGATCACACTAGATTTAAAAATGCTGTCGGTCCATTGAAAGTCTATAAACTATCTATATTAAGAAGAAAAACGCACACACGACAGCCAATTACTAAAATAAATAAAACATACTATAAAATGTCATGTCTGCCGTCATGATGCCTTTGGTTTAAAATAAATACTATTACAGTAAGTACTTACCGCTCACTGTGAGATTGCTTAAAAAAATATTGTTAATGGTAGTAAACTATCTTCTCATATTAAAAGATCTTTAAGATCTAATGGAGTAGCTAAAACCAGCAGGTGAAGGTTAAAAAACAACAAATCAGGACAGAAGTCTGACTCAAGCTTTGGATCAGTGGCTAATCCCCAGACTAATTCTAACGTTCCTGATCCACATCCAGCCTGGTTGGAAAAGCATTTATGGGACATTTCGTTTTGTGAAGAGGAGAATTTAAATGAACCATATTGGCTTATCTTTTAAGTTTTAGGCTAACAAACTGTAAAAGAGACATAAAAAGCTTTAATTTAACATCTATTTTTCCTAATGCTTTCTGCACAGATAATGCAAGAGTTAAAATAATCTAATGGTGGTGGGAGGTGAAAAGAAAGCCTTTAGTCTGATGCCTTGGTGGCAGAAAGCTTTTAAAGAACATAAGTTTACACTTAGTTTGAGGGGAAAAAAAACAAACAAGCCTCCATTCCAACAGGAGAACAAAAATTCTAAGTGAAGAAAATCAGTATCAGCAAATTTGATCTGTTCTTTGCATAGAAACCTTGAACAAATGTGGTTGGATGAGGGTAAGGTGAGTAAGGAGGGTGGTAAACAATTTAAGAAAATCTCCAAAGCTCACATTAAAGTATTTCTATTGCAAACATCCACAAAACTGTAGATATTCTGCTAATTTCACAAATGCAAATTGTCACAAAAATCTACAATTAAAATTGCATGTGAATACATTTGTTCACAGAATAACTGTTGAAAACAACATGGCAGTGGCAGATGTAAACCCTTATATGGCCATTATAAGGGCTGGGTGATATGACCTCAAATCAATATCACCATCAATTGGGCAGTTTTACCTTGATAATGACGAATGCACGACAAATGCTCTGGCCCCTATCAGAAATAAAGGCATGTGTAGAAAATGCAATTGATCTATTTATAATTTATTCATTAAATAAACCACATTACATATTACTTTTAATAAAAAAATGTAAGTCTTGTACCCATTCAGATTCAACAATGTTTCATTGAACAGGAGAAAAATGTTTCGTCCCTTACAAACATTATATGCGCAAAGGTAAAGAGCCTTTTGCACATCTTTGAACTCAATAGTGTGGTTGTGCTGTAGGTGGAGGAGGTCGGATGTGTTACTTTGGTCAGGCCCGACAGTTTTCAGACAAACTGTGCATTCCGTGTTCTTTTGCTCAACATTTATGGTGTAATTTTGGTGCTAACAAACTGAGCCTGCAGTGAGAACAATGTGCATCATTTAAACTCGCATCCCCTCACTCAAAATCGGTCTGCCGTGCGCTCAACTCTGAAAACACGCTCTCGACTTCTTCTCTGCGCGCTCAGCTTCATCTCTGCTCTCGCTTGGCTCCCCAGGATTAACTGATTTCATTTTCTTTACAGCTAGACGCTTTTTCATTGGGCTCATCTGCCATTCTCCATGCTTCTGACTCGACTGATGGTGTCACGTGATTACACACGCTAGAGTGTCTTATAGGGGAAGGAAATACCTGCCACCAGCGCACACAGGAAAAACGGCAAAATTAAGTTTTATTTCTTTTACCGACATGGGAAAATTGTCACCCGTTATCGTAGTGATCGCCCAGGCCTGCTAAAATAATTACTAATTTCTTAAAATAAGTGCATTTACCCTCATTTGTGTAGGTAAATAAGATGATCTGCCAGTGGAATGGGTATTTTTTATCCTTAAATAAGATAATTTGACATTATGCACTTGAAATAAAAGACTGCAGTTTTTTTTTTCTATTTTAATAGTAAATTGTCTTATTCCATTGACACAGTGACTCACTCGCCTGCTCAATTTGAGAAAAAATGCACTTATTTTAAGAGAAATGTATTTTCTTAGATATCAGTTTTATCAGTGTAGTCACCAGGGCTTCATAACCACAATTCATTTGGGGACATCTTTATCACTGGTTGGAGGAGAGCTTTACAGCATATCTAAACAAAGCCTGTAGAAGTGTCATACGTCCACTTTTACTTTCCAGTCTCACCTTGACAGCTTGTCAAACATGCTGGCCAGTTTCTCAGCTTCATACTCCTTCTGCTCCTCCGTCATCTCTTCAATGGGGTTTGGCATCGGCTCCTCCACATGACCAGTGATGGGGTTAATGCTGGGAATTAGAAAATTGAAGCTCAATGCACATCTGCAAACTACTTTCTTAGTACTAAACAAGATGATAGTAGCTGGCCGACTGAATGACTCACAAAGGTTTGGCAGATTTGTATTCATCTGTGTCAGAGTCTTCATCGTCAGAGTACTGCGTCTCTCCTCTCCCACCTGCCAGTAGCCCTCGAGCCACCAGGAGTCCTGCTGCGTTTCCGTATCCCGTGTACTTCAAAAGATTGTCCACTGACAGGCAAAGTCGCACAGAGATGTGTATTAATATTTTATAAACTTAAACCAGGCATAAATGTCACAGTCACCACCCTCGCAACACATCCGGCTCTGTTTCCCCCCACCCATCTTTACTCACAACTCTCTTTTTATGTTTTGTGTTTTGTCAATATAGCTCTAAGGAATGATAACACAGAGACAAGTAGTAACCCAACAGGTTTGCTTTCACAAGCAGACCATTATGGTTGTTGCCATAAGGTTCTACTTGGTCTTTATATATGAAACTTTATTGAAAATGATTTAGAGAATAAAATCTTATGCAACAGAGACGGAAAAGGTGAGAAAGGGAGAGGGGATAAGAACTAAGGGAAGAGAGAAAGAGAGAGAGGAAAAAGGGAGGAGCAGATGAAAAGAGAAAACAATACAGCAAAAAAAAAGAAAAACACAGAAGACATACAGCAACTCCTTAAGTCTGCTAACACACCTGAGTGAGACGAGAGGGACAGAAATCAGGGAACATGGCAACAGCAAAAGGAAGACAACAGACAACCAAAGTAAACATCAGAAAAGCTTCCAGAGCAACAGGTATCCCTTAGATACCCTATTAGAATATGTGTGGAAATCAAAACCTATGGTGATTACACAGTTAAATTTAGGGTGGTATATATCTGTAGCCGCAGCTAAGTATTTAGTATTAGTGAGTATCAGTGAACACCTGGAACCAAAGTGGTAGGGATGCATGGGCATGCTTGTGGATGGAGGATTTACAAAGCTTCTTCAGAAGAAAAGTATGCTCAATAGAAGGAGTGGGAGTCCCCAGACTCGCCCTACAGGGGCTGCGATTGATAGAGAGGCGACCCCAGCTCCAGAGGCACCCCAGGTCACTGGGACACAAGGAGAGCAGACATAGGGATGGCCACACCCACCAGAGAAGGGCTGACAAGAGCACCCAGTCACGCCCAAGGTGGACCCGGATGAGAGCCCAGGGGCCGACGCACACAGAGGCAGAAACTAAATATTATTCTTACACTCCCCATAAATACGCCGTCCTCGCAGGTCTAGGGGCCAATCCCCCTACAAGCCCCCAAACCCAAGAGGAGATCCCCAGCCCCCCAGTGTGGTAATAGGGTAGGCAGCTTGAGCTCTAAAGAAATAAAAGGACTGGGACTGTGTGCCACCCAAAGGAGGAAAACACAAGTATACCCCAGCTCTAAGAGCCCCCCAAAACCAATTACTCACCACTCTCTTTGCAGAGGACGAACAGGAACTCTGCAGCAGTCTGCTTTACACCCATGTCCACATGCGTCATGAGGCGAACCAGCTTGTTTCTGATGGTGGTTCCCACCTCTGGTCTGTTCTTCACATCCTTCAGTGGAGGAAGTACCTACATAAAATGTACAACAGTTTTTAATATCACTAAGTAATTCTGTTTGTTTAGTTCTAGCTGTTTCTGCTTGGTTCTGAGCATTACCTGAGTTTTGATATATCTGCGAATCTCTCTGTGGCATCTGGATCCTTCGGTTAACAGGCTGAGCACCGGAGTCAAACCCTCTTTGTAGTTGGAGCACTTTGGGGAGCGACACAAAACAGCTAACTATTGTCAGAGTACCACACAGATGATCTAAACATTGAACAGGAAAATAAGAAAGTACAGGAAATGCATAAACAAGTCCTGTTCCAGAACTCAGAAAATTGAATTAAAATTTAACCTTGTTACTAATACAAGAGACACAATAGTCAACTAAATGTTTGCGATTACAGCTACAGATCGAAGGGAACTTTGTTAAGCAGGAGATCAATTAAAGGCTTTATACAGTCATAAACAGATTTTTCCATTTCATTTATAAAAGAACACCTTTTTCCTCTCTTAATCTGACACTGAATTAGACTGTTTCCTGTTTTTAGGTCAAACATTTTGATTTACAAATGACACCATCTTTAATTGGTCATTTGTAAGAATGTCTTCAAATTTATCAATTAGGCTATAGTCCCTCAGTCTTTGGTAGAACTAGCAATCAGCTGAACAAGATGTAAAATAAAGTACCAATTCAGGTGTGTCGACCACCTGGCTCACACTCCTTTCTCAGCTCTGTCAGACCTTCTGTAGGTCAGAGATCAAAGCTTCATGATGGTCTGTCCACAACATTGACCATGTTACACTTGTATATGTGGAAGGCCCATTTGAGCTCAAGCTTTAGAGTCCTCCCTGGGGGATTGAGAAGCTGTTTTAGTATTTTAAAAGGATATTCTTTCCTTGTTGTACCATCGATGTGGTAAGGCAGCTGTTCAATAATATTTACCAACAAAAAGCTTTGGTGTTTCAACACTAACCGCAAGCTGTCAGATATTATTTTCCATATGTTAGTAAGATTTTCTCAACAGGAAGCAGCAGCATCAGACTCAAAGTGGAAAAAAAGAAGGCTGGATCTGTGATGCAGACTAATGGTGCTTCCAGAACATCATAATAGATGAAACCACACCTTATTTATGAAGCAGCTAAAATCAGTTTAGTAGAAGATTTCTAATGATCTGCTGCAACAAACAACCAAAGCAGAGGCATAAGCTGTTTGCAGGAATAGGCTTACAGAGTTTTTCTTTGCAGGAAGGGATTATAAAATCCAGTAATTATGATCAAATAAATGAGATTAAGAAAAAATGTTTTACACAGCTGGACAATTTAAACAGTTTTTAACACAGTGTTAATCCCACATTTGGTTCTGAACCGTTGGTAGAAGTGGGCTATATTTCTTAACTCGCCCCACACCTATACTTGATCTTAAGGATAAATTTACCTTATCAATTCTCCTCTCCATGAAATCCAGCAATACTTGAACTGCTTCCATGTTTTTGCCGCCATATTCCTCCACGCCCCCCTGGATGGGCACGTCAATCAACACATCCAGGCAGGAAACAGGCAGGTTGTTGAGCAGGTTGACAGCGTGGCTAAATTAGAAACAGCATTTTTATTTTTGCAGGAAAATAAGGGTAAAATTGAAGTCTAAACCTCATTATTATATAAAGGCCATATGACTCTATATTCAGCACCCTGCTGCCTTCTGGTAAACCAATCACAGTGATCACCACCACAGGCATCACTCTACACAAGCTGCAGAACTTCAAAATACATATAAGAAGTTTCTGCAGCTCCAACATAAGTTTCAGCCTTACAGTGAAGAAGGAAGATTTTTTTTCCTGCTTATCAGCCACATAAAGTCAGTTAACCCTCAATTCTTCTCCTAAATCACTAAAAGCAATGAAAAGGCTTCTCAGTAGAAACATAACAAATACATGCCTCAACCAGGTTCCTCCACACAGCACCCAGATATACTTCCATCACAGGAATAAACCACTAAAATCTAACAAAGGGAAGTGTTCAGATTCCATCAATAAATATAAAACAACCTGGAAATTCTTCAAGTTCATACCTGTCCTATAAGACCTTTTTAGGACCATTTCACAAGATTCTTCTTTATGATGTGGTATGGTTTTAGTCTGCCGTAACACTTTTAGCACATGTAGGGTTAAGATTAATATTTGAAATCTTAACATTTCACTCTGCTTGCTTTTTTTTCTAAGGAGATATCTCTGTATTTTTTTCTTTATTTAGAGTATTTTTGCCATGTCAGTTGCTAACACTCCCATGACCACCAATCAGTTGCAGGACAGGACAACAATGAAATATAGTTTAAAAGTATAAAAAAGGAGACGGTTTCTACCCTTTAATAGCTTTTACATTAAAAGCACAAAAAACCCCAACATATTAAGCGATTAACCTCCAGGAACCAGTTTGTGTACAGGTGCTCCTCTTCTATTCAACTGGTTCACCAGGCGAAGTCTAGTATATTCTCTAAGACAGAGAATGACCTCAGGTGTCTGGTTTTGAGTAATTCTACAGGTTATAAGGAGAAAAGGACGTAGAAAGAGCAGAGAGAAATTGCTTCTCACCTGTGTGCTTCTTCTGTTTTCTCCTCCGTCTCAGTTTTCAGCATCAAAAGGTGACGCAGGATTGCAGCTAGGAGTCGGAACTGGTGGTCATCCTCCTGTGAAAATCAAGCATGTAAATAAAATACAGACCCCCCAAAAAATAAATAAAAGACACTGAATTAAATAAGCGCAGGAATTACGAGTTTTTAGGAGTGAGGCCATGGCAACAACCAAGCAGTATCTATAAGTCAGAGCAGCAGGTGAAGGGTAGGAAGCTATGCGCAGGGACAAATATAATCCTGGGATCTAGTGTGGACTTACACTGCCAGATGTTGCCTCTTTGGTTCATTAGACCCATCCGTCTAAGTCGCATGGAATATCATGAGCATACTTAAGGTATATTTTTGGATAATCACAGGAAAATTATTACTATTGAAACCATTTACCTTGGTTAAAACAAACCAGACATCAACAGCCTTGAAACATGTACAGTACAAACAGCAGCATTTATCTTTCATTGTTGAGGGAGCGTTCAATCCACGTATAGAATTTTGAAACTTTGGTGTTTCTGACGGTTGAGGTGAGGGTGAACACAGATCTAAAGAGCTGTCTTATGTTGTTAAGCCTATATAAGAGATGTACAAGGAGGAAAGATTTAACCTCTAAGAAAAAAAAAACATTGGAGGCCAGGCCAGAATTTGTCTTCTGTTACAAACAGAGAACTGGAAGTGTCACTGTTTAGGGATTATTTAGCTCCTGGCAACTTTATTTCACCACCAATTCTGCTGTATTTTGGAAGATACTTTAGCAAACTTAGAGAACAGCTGTTAAATATTTAAAGTTGAATCGACCTAAAAGAACAAAGAGTTAGTTAGCATAGAAATTAATTAAACTAAAAAGGTAGATGGCTATAAAAATGTCTCCTTTAACATCTTTATGAAAGCTGGAAATTCAAATAAGGTAATCAAAATATGCAGGTAAAAAGAAATAAAGGAAGAAAGCTTAACTATCAACACTTAAACTTATGTCTCTAATCTTCTATAGGGTATTAAGTTTTTATGACTGCATGTTTTTTTTTAACCTAGAAAAAAAAACTTCAGAATGATGGTAATAATATTAATAATGCTTAATGTTTTTGTTTTATTGGAAAAAAGAAAACTGAGTCATCAAATGAAATCAAGATGTTTTCCTGGTTATCATCTCCCTTTCTTAGCGCAGTAATTCAAAAGTTAAAAATGGCTTCAAGGAGAGTGGATCACTTTTTTCATAGCTCTTTGTACAAGAATCCAGATGTTTACACATTCACAATTATGACCAGCCATAAGCCAAACATTCTCACCTCATTCCGACTTTCTGAGAGCGTGAGGTTGAACAAGGCTTTAAGGGCTTCCATCGCTCGTTCGTTGCTCTCTGCAGGCAGTGGCAGAGCCTGCGGTTCTGGTCGAGCAGCTTCGTAGGTACCGACCCAGTGCACGTCCAGCGTGTGCTCCAGGACCTCTGTCAACAGTCTCACAGCGTGACAGTCTTTCCTCAGTACTGCTCTCACATCAGGCCGCAGGGCAGACAGCAGGAAGAAGAGGCGCAGGATGAACAGGCCCACCTCGTGTTGCCACATGTGGGCGGAGTGCAGGCTGGCACAAAGGCTGTGTGCAAGCTGGATGTCTACACAAACCTGCTGAGCTGCAGAACTGTTGTACACAACATTGCATAGGCACTTTAAAGCCTCCACCACCACCCTCTTCTCTTCTTCAGACTGTAAACTGTCCTGAGCGGCTTCCTGTTTATTCTCTTCATCCTGTTGGGCACGCAGCGTCGCCATCCGAGTCAGAACCAGCATGCCATCCACAGTGGCTACAGGTCCGAGGACCCGTTTGTCTCTGGAAAGGATGCGAAGTGTTTCCAGACACGTCCTCTGACAGCTGGGCCGCACCTGTCTCCCAAGAACGGCCAAAACACTCTGACAGAGTTTCTAAATTACAAGATAGACAGTAAAGAAGACTGTCATTAATGAACAACCAGACATCACATTATCTACTAACAACCTGCTCGGTTGGATGTACGCACCCTCCGCAGGGCTTCTTCTTTTTGGTCAAACGTGAAGGTCTGAGTGTTCTGAAACAAAAAAAAAGTTATTCTTACCTGAACACATTTTGTATGTTTTCATAAAGTAATTCAGACCCACAAGCACTGTTTCTGTCTTTGCTGCTGGTAGATATTTTTTTCCACAGAAACCTACTGTAGTGCATATGCTTGGAAATGGAAACAAGTAACCAAATTGGCATTTTATGAATCATTGAATCTGCCTGGAAAACATAGAAACTGCTTCTATGTTTGACTCTGACAAAAAAAAGCACAAACCAGGAAAATGTATCATGTTACAGTATTCCTTCCCACATTCACAGGGACTAAATACATTGATCGTTATGCTCCTTAGCTTAGGATCAAACTCTCTGAGACATTGTTAGCTGTAAAAAAATAACTAGCTTTGCCATCAATGTCATATATTAGTTTAAAAGTTACTTAATATGATGAATGCTCAACATTTAATTTGTTTAGGTTAGCTTTTTCATACTTGTTTAGTTTGTTACCATGTGTACCTTGTGTTGTATTTTGGTTTTTATTCATTGAACATAAACACCAATCCAGAGATATGCATTCGATACATAAAGTGCCAAATCTTGTCGGCACGCAGTTTATATTAATTGTATATTAGTTTTGCATTCAGCATTTTTTTATGTTCTATTAAACTGATTGAGTAAATATTAAAAGTCGTTTGTCACACCGCACGTCACCTCTCTCTCTCTTCTCAGCTAGCAATGTAAAGCTAACTCAAAGCTAGCTAGCCAGCGTTAGCAGCCTGTTTGTTTTGAATAAACCAAAAGCGCTGACTCACCTCTTGGCTGTATCGCTGTAAAAGCGTCTCTGTGTCCTCATCGTTTGCAGTTTCAAGCTGGGATAAGATGCCGTTAAGGTCCATGATAGAGAGGCCGTGTAAAAGTCGGACAGCTAGCTTGGTTCAGACGTTGGCTGCCTGTGCTAGCTGTCAGGCACGAGCTGCTGTGAGCAGGGAAACTCCCCTCACTGCCTCCATCAGCTGCCTCTCTCCTCACTCACCTATTCAAATTATACCATGGTTACTTTGTTTAAACAACCAAACAAGTTATTTACTATATTTCTATATTCTTTTTTTTTTTTTTTATCTTCTATATAAATGTACCGCAGTGGCTTTTCCTTATGTTGACTGGAGAGCAAAGTGAGAATTGAATTAGCTGATGTAGAATAGAATATAGCTATGTATTTATTTATGATAATTTAAGAAGATATGAAAAAAGGTCAATCTTAAGACGAGTAACAGTAGAGCTCTAATAACCAGAGGTGGGTAGAGGACCCAAAAATTGTAATCAACTAAGAGTAGCTCTACTTTAACAATTTTTACTCAAGTAAAAGTAAGAAGTAGCCATCCAGAAATTACTCAAGTAAAAGTAAAAATGTATTTGGTATAATAGATCATATTTATATAATATTTAATAAGATAAATAACAAAAAAATTGGTAAAAAAGCTACTTGAGCACTAAGTAATTCAATTCAATTCAGTTTTATTTATATAGCGCCAATTCACAACACATGTCATCTCAAGGCACTTTACAGTTCACCAGATCATACAGTCAAATTGATTTAAAGTTTTCTATCTAAGGAAAACCAGTTGATTGCATCAACTCATTGACTCAAATGCCATTCCTCACACTAAGCATGCTTGCAGCAACAGTGGAGAGGAAAAACTCCCTTTTAACAGGAAGAAACCTCAAACTCACAACCTCAGAATTCCAAGCCCTATTCCCTAACCACTACGCTGCCACTCCCCTATGATAACTGTATATATATTAGGATAAGTTAATGAACTTCCACTGTTAAGATCTACTGTTTATAGTTTCCTGATTTTGGAATAGTTCAAAATACTCACAGATGATATAGTCAGAGATTTTACTCAAGTAGAAGCAGCGATACTTTACAAGAATATTACTCAAGTAAAAGTACCACACAACTTCTAAACCTACTCCTAAAAGTATTTTTTTTTTCAATTCTTACTGTGTAAATGTAACTAATTACTACCCGCCTCTGTCTCTAACTAATAACTGTGTGTCCTGTCCAGCTTTTTGTTGAAGCAATCCCCTCAGACTGTAAAAAATTTCAGCCATCTCAGTCTCCGCTCTCTGGTTATTCACAGTTGTAAACAGTGGACTATTATAAGTACCTGGGTCGATGTTCCCCTGAACACCAGTTCTCCTTCACTGACAGACTGCTGCAACCTAGGCGCACAAAAGAGCGCTGTCACAGACCCTTCCTTAGATGAAGAATGAAGAATGGCAAAGCAAGGGAAGTACTTGCATGGCACCTTTTAGCACCAAAACAGTCAAAGTGCTTTACAGAGGTTCCAGCATGTTTTAGGTGTTTCCCCACCACCACATACTTACATTAAATACATACATTTCTATTGTATGCTATTTTTTTGTTTGTTTGACAATACATATTTTGTAAAAGACAAGTGTATTTGGGTAATTTTAAGAACTCATGATTGTATTAATACACATAGCAATAGTAGCACTGATCTCAGACACAGCGCTGTTGGATGATATCACAGACACCCCCTTTGGAGACGTCACAGATCTCTCACAGCTGCCAGATGAGGCGGTGTGAAGATCTCTAAGAACATCTTTGGCGGATATTGATGTTGACATTGAGGTCAGGTGATTACAATACAATAAAGGGCTTACTTCTTTATTTTTTTCTCTGCATTAAACAAGTTGTGTCTGTTCAATGTCTCGGCAGTGAGGCTTGCAGGATTTCACAGATGTAACACAGAGGATTCACTCTCCATTAAATAGAAAAACCCAGGCAGGGGGAAGAGGTTAAAGGTTGTGGGACTAAGGTGCAGTGACCCCAGCACAGCAGGACACTCCCTCAATAGAAATGTAATTTATTAAGCAGCGTGGCTCTTCTTGTTAGGGCCCAGCGCCCTTAAAGGGCTTCCACTGAGATTTTAGAAGATAAAAAAAAAACAATCAGCTAAGATGATTCCAGGAATATTTCTACTCATTCATATGCAACATATGACAGAAATTAAACAAGGAAAGATGATATACTGGTAGTAAAATATATATATTTAACATATTTTAATAAATAATGAGCTGTTTTAGAAAAATAACAAAAATTCCTGAATGTACCTATTGTCAGAGCTGATGTCAACTTCACGTTAAATTATAGTAACAACCTGCTAATATTTCAAATCAGCTAAGTCAGTTTAACTCATTTAAAATGGTTGAAAGAGTTGGAATGTTCTTAAGTGCTTAAAGTGCTTATTATATGTATTATTAGACAAGAAATTAAATAGAATAAAAAGCCTCCACTTATATTTATCCAAGAAGTGACTGTAGCAATATAGAAGAAACACAGTAGGATTTTATACATTATTGTAGTCTAAAAAATAAAGCATCAGAGATTTAAATGTGGAGTACCAAAAGGCTTAGTGTTGTCAGGGAAGTTTAGGAATAATTGGTTTTAATAACATTTGCTGGAAAGTCTCATTAAGAATTATCGAAATTAAAAGTAAGCAAAAGGGAACACAGTTTGAGCAAAGCTAAGACTGCTCTGTATTCATGGGCACTTTGTATTTTGTACAGGGAACCTATACCATAAAATATTAGTACATTTTAGGGATGAGATTTAGGTATACTCAGTCCAAAAAAGTTACAAAAAGTTAAGAAACAAACCACTGGAAAATACAGCAACAGGAATCGTACAGTGCTGCATTATTTTGACACATTGAGTTATGTGACAGCCTTATCCCAAACAGTGTCCAATGAACCTCCTCCCTCAATATTCTACAACCCATAATGACGATGTGAAATCACATTCACATAGGTATTAGAATGGCCTTTGGGTATTACTATGTTGATCCACCTTTGACAAGAAACAAAACCTAAATTCTTTTTGAATGTGTTTCCTCTAATGAGCACAGCTATCTGTTGGCTGTTTGGCTCATTCTGCTTCTGGCCAGAGGATATCTGTGCATAGTTATTCATCTTTTCGGATGTTAGATCATATTCAAATCTAGACCAAGAGAGTCTGAAACAGGCCTTTATCCAGGATGTGTCTGTACATTGCTGCTTTTATCCGTCTTTATCCTGACCAGTCTGCCACTCCCCGTTACAAAAAACAAACAAAAAACATCCCCATAGCATGATGCTGCCACCACCATGCTTTATTGGGGCTGTGAACAATGCTTGACATTTACACAAAATACTTTAGTCTTTCAATCAGAATAGAAAGTTCAGTTCCTCATTGTCTTTAGGTGCCCTTTTGCAAACTGCAGACAGGCTGCCATGTGGCTTTTATTAAGGAGTATAATTTATCTGGCCACTCTGCCATACAGGTATAATTTGCTGTTCTTCAGTTGGGTTTTCGTCTTTCCATAGGAACACTGGGGCTCTGATAGAACTATGAGGTTCTCGGGTGCCTCCTCGAATATGGCTCGCCTCCTCTGATTGTTCAGTTTAGACAGACAACCAGCTGTAGGAAGACTCCTAGTGGTTCCAAACTTTTTCCATTTTTAAATAATGGAGGTTTAATGTGCTCCCTGGGTCCTTCAAAGCAGCAGAATATTAGATTTTTCCTTTCCCAGATTTATGCCTTAAAACAATCAGTTGAAGTCCTAATCTACATATAACTTTGTGTTTCTTCTAAATTGATGTCCATTTTATTTCTCATCCATTCAAAAAGAAAAAAAAGTCTTTATAAAAGAGAAAGGTCCGTTGCTTTTTGAGTTATTTTAACCTACTTCATTTTGAAATATGGGTTCTGTAAAAATTTATTTCTAAAATGTATGTATTCTACAGGTTTCACAGCATTTAGACTTTTGTAGCTAGTGAGATTAAACACTGAAACTATACTGGTCGAAAAATATGTAATCAATCACAGCTTATTGCTGGTTTAACAGGGGAACGTTGTTTGGATATAGCCTTTTTTCCTGTGATACATGTAATAATTTGAAAACATCTTTTGAATTTCCTCATTATATTGCTCTGAGCTTAAACATATGTGACCAACACAAAAAAACACACACATGTGTGAACATGTGGATAAAAGGTGCCTATATATTGCGATTTCTTAAAGTAAAAATTATACCATAGAACAAAAACAAACAGAAAAGACTCAATGTCTTGAATTGTTGAATTATTTATAGGGGTGGATTATTTCAAACATAATTTAACTGTACCACAGATGCTCTCCAGTGCTTTTTATTTACAGAAAAGTGACGATACTTCATGTTACTGTACACTTTGATATTTTCCCTTTTAATAAATACCCATAGGGTAATAGGTCCTCAGTAGCTTTGAGTGCATTATAAAAACACACAACCCTAAGTTAATGCATCCTTTACTAACCATACAAAACAGACAACATAGAAAATATAGCATTACACCATGTTACAAAGTTACAGAAAATACTTCATATATATATCTATCTTTATAGATATATATATAGATATATAGTCACAAAAAACAACGGAAAAGCTTGCAACAGAATACATTTGTTGTGTTTAAGTTAACTATCTGAGATGGAAACGCGTGATGGTTGTCAGCCCAGAGTCACAGACCTGGCGTCCCAGGAGAAGGTTAAGGCAGTTCAGCTCATCGCGACAAGATGCTGCGACAGCGCTGAGCATCACAAGGAAAACCTACAGCTGCTGGGACTGCACCGGTATCCGAAGACAGCACTGAGAGCAGCGAGGGCAACTCCGGCTGAGGTGTACATTCCTTAAAACAAAGGCACAGCTTGGCAGCAGCATTGCACTCGTTAAATGATTTTGCTGCAGGTTCAGACAATCGATATATTTTGTTTTCTTCCACTGATTGTTTGATGGAAGAAACGGTTAATTAGGGTCCTGGTCAAATGATGCCACAGTCCTCAGGATGACTGATGTATCAGGCCCGCTTTGAATTCTTACGACCTTTTCACCTCTCTGCTCCTCTTTGTTTTTGATAGAGTTCAGAGGCTGCAGTTT